GAAGTCAGAAAATTTAAAAAGAAAATAAATACTTTTACAAACTTCCTATGTGCTCCATTTTACAGAACTTCATGAACATCCGGAAGTAACCTAGAAAGGTAGTGGCAGCCATGTGATCACTGCTAATACTTGCTGAAAGTGCAGCATTGTAATAAATTGGGTTAAATCATTGCACTGATGATTGATTGTATTCTACAGGTAACAAAAAGTTGCTTTTCCACTGAATTTATTTATATAACAATATATTGTTTTTTGGGCGGTCAAATATATATTTCTATAACTGGTGTTGGAGTGTGCATTTAAATATGTTAGGATGCTTTCTATGAATTCTAAACTCTTCGGCAGTGTAGTTTGAATGTGAAGTAATGACGAGGCCAAGCCAGGGAGAAGGTGATGAGGCCTGCTAAATCCATGGTACGATTTCAGTACATAGTGGGCAGCACTCAGGAAAGAAGAATCTCTTGACAGAAATAAAAGGATGTTCATTGAGGAGTTATGTTGGGGTGAAAACAACTTGGTATGCTTAATTTACTAGAAATATAAGACTAGAAACAAAATGTGCACCAGCATGCATTTTCCGGAAAGCTAGAATGCTTTGTGGAAGTGAAGCTCACACAACTTAACCACATAGTTTAAGCTAAAATTACTTAGGAGGACTTTGAATAAACATCTGACAAGTATGTTCTTGTAAGACATCAAAAAGTAACTTGCATTAGTTAAAGGGTCCTAGACTCGGTTTTATGTTCTTGTTGTTGTGAGATGCTTGTGCCGTGCTCCTGCAGGGAGCCAGGAAATCTTTTACACACTGCAACAAAATATTTGGCTCACAGGAAGAACTGTTTGTAAAACAGGCAATCGGAAGCTGAACTCTGACCAGCAAAATACTATTTGCATTGGTGAAAGGATGCACAAATAAAAATATTGCAGGAAAAACACATATACTGTACTGACACCCAGGCATACATACTGTAAAGTATAGATAGTGGAGGATATACATTATGTAAGAATTTAGATGTGCATATATTCAGAGGTTTCCTTTTCATGCTCCTTTAGTTTTTCATTATGTAGTTCTGTAGTACTCTAACAAAAGATGAGTTAGAATATTTAAACTGGTATTTAAAAAGTTTAAAAAAAGTGTAGTTCCTTATAGACAATCATTCAGGTTCCGTAAGCAGAATGGCAAGATAATGTGTCTTTTGACACACCTTTCACTCAAGTGAGCTGATGTGTTGAAGTTAATATTAAATAAAAACAAATGGATGACAACTTTTCATGATATCTGTATGTATTTGGGATGTTTACCTATTCAAAAGTAAAATGAATGATTCTTAGACGGGCAATCATTGGCCTGCATTTTACTGCAAAAATACATAAAAGATTAAAAAAACTTTAGAAGCAATTTGACATACAGCATCTTAGGTGTACTGTTAATGACGAACCTCACTTGAAGAAACCAGAGAGTAGCTACCATTTATTCATCTGTACCGTGCTGTTTCCATGGATATATCCTTTAGTAATGCATCTTCAGTGAATGATAGTGATGACATATTTTATTGTTTTTCCAGATAACTGACTTGGAAGACATTCCATCTTTTTGTTTTTCTTTTTTTGACCTAATGGAATATGTATTGATCCAGAATCTGTTCTCTCTCCACATTACTGTAACTGCAAAAGAATGTAATCGAATGAAAGACTGATGCTTCAATCCCCGCAGAACTCTTTTTTTCATACTAGTGATTTATTTTTAACACTTAATCATTCTGTTACATTATTAGTTAAATGTTAGCAAAATACAATCTGTGGCTGTAGTTTAGTCTCTAACCCAGCCTGGAAGAGAATAAGACATTGACAGTATGTCCTCTGAAACACACACATGTCATCATGACGTCTTATTTTCTCAGTAAGAGTCTTGAGTATCAGACTTTCAGATTTTGGGCATCAGTGCAGGATAGATGTGGCTTTAACTGCTAACATGAAAAAACATGGGTGCCCAGCAGTGCCAGGAGGCACTAAGGCATGGAGAGCAAAAACAAATATACAGCTTGAGAACATGACAACAGTTACAGATGAGTGGAAGACATCTGGCCCTTTGTTTTTTCCAATTAGTCTCATCCAGTCAATTCTTGAAAGACGACAGAGTATCAGCTTCAACAAAATGGCTGGATAATTTGTGTCGCACTCCCACAATTCTCTGGTAAAAAAGTGCCTCCTATTCTCAGTTTTGAATGCACTTCCACATACAGTACTTGCCACCTGTTGTTCTTGTTTCACTGTTCATTCTTAACAAGTCAAGCGTATTGACTTTATCAGTGTCCTTGAGGATTCTGAATCCTTGTATGAAGTCCCCTCTCAATCTTCTCTTTTCAAGACTAAAAATGCTCAGTTCCCTCAGTCTGTCACCCTGCTCGCCCCAGCCTTATCAAAGCATGTGACGCATTTCCTCCTTCATTCACCATGTTGTTTTCTTATGTGCAAATAAACAAGAGGCAGACAGTTCCTGAAGCTGACTGTTTATTGTGCATCTGCACTTAACTTCCTGCATTTTACATTGTGCCCTGTTGTATCCCTGTCATTTGATACTGCTGTACATTTACTGCTTGTTGTATTTACACTGATTTATTTGAAAACATTACAACAGCAGACTGATGCACACAGTTTTGACTTAAACTTGGATCCTTCACTATACAGGATTCATCCTCTCTAATCATTACTAGGTTAACCTTTCAAAAGCTCAATTTCCTCGCTTAGCAGTCACCACTTAAAGCTTTAGTGAAACGTAGGATTGTCTTGATTATTTAATGCTATGTATTGAATTTGGCATAGACACATCTGACATTTTTTTGGGTTTAATGCACATTGAACTTTAATAACCACATTGTTAATGAGTCTTTGTGATTCTTGGCTCAGATAGTTCCTTTTGTTATATTTTCAGGTGGCTTGTCCCTAAAATCTGTCTTTTTTCCAGCATGGCCTCCCCTGGTTCTTTGCATCTGCATCGGGGCTGTCGAAGCCAACCTCGTTTTGTGGTGTCAAAGACGATATTATCGAACTGTGGTTTGAAATATGCTTTAAACGAAGGCAAGAGAGTGCGAATGAGGCAGGCATTGAAGGGCGTACTTTCTATTGTCTGCAAACTTCCCCAAAGTAACAAGGGAAGAGATAAGATCTAACAAAAAGCCACCAGACACTGACAGAAAGCAGGCATTTTCATCTGAGTTATGGGCTTACATTTACAGTAAGTGCCATCACATTCAGAGCTTATCTTTGTTTTGAACAGGCCTGGTTTCTCTGAGGAGGCTTCGTGTTCGTTAGTTAGTGCAGACCATGTCTCAGCAGTGAAATACAGTAAAACTCAATTGGGTGGAGCTGAGGCACTGAGAGGTCAAGCTAAATTCTCCCTCCACCCTGAGGAACTGTGCTGGAACTAAACACTCACATTTCTAGCCAGTAGTATTCAGTCCAGTCATAGTGTTAACAAGACAGCATCTGTGTTCATATGTAATTAGGGCTGGGAAATGCGTTGTCTGTGACCCTCTCTGTCAACTAAGTTTAGTAAGCCTTTATATCCGTTCAAAGTTTGCATGATGTTGTTTGAGGAGTGACATAAAACAGGCGAGCAAAATGAAATGTATGCCTGGAGCAGCTTGTTGTTGAAGTGTTTGTGTCTAGAGTTTGACATCTGGAGTTATGACACTACAAAGCTTTAGAGATAGGGTGGGCCCTTCATTTTTCCTGTAAATCCCATCTTGAAGAAAGTAACATGTACTGTAGGAGGTCACATGGTTTTTCTGAAGGAACATTACTAACCAAACTCTGTACAGTGCAGCTACAGTGTAAAACAATGATATTAAAGTAACATATTCACAAGCTCGTTTTTCTGCTATTTCTATTTTAATTGATGCCCTGCATTATGTTTGCTGTTAAATATCCCTGCTCTGACCTTAAATGCATGCTCAGTTTCTAGTTTTGTTGCTCTTCATTTTCTTCAAACCTAGAGAAAAGTGACAGGGAAACTTCTGAAAGGAGAAACACATTGGTTACAACTTACCTGTTCACTTTCTCTAACAAAGCCTAATTGCTAGTATAATCTCATTAGTGTATAAATACAATAACTTATTACAAACCTGAAATCTTCGTAGTAACATAAAAAAGTTACAAATGGGATAACGCCATTCTGCCTATCTAATGTATTTGGTTTTTAGTAGCCTAGTGATCTGAGGATCTGATCCAAGCACTTCTGAATGAAGCTAGGGTGTAAGCTTTGACAAACAGACTGAGTAGCATGTTCTAGACTATTAAAAAGTGTCCCCCCATTTTAAATTCCATAGTTTATACTTGTATCTCAAGCACACATTTTTGATCATTTACAAAACACCCTTCTAGGGCAAACCTCTCTTGAATATTGTGTGAACGCACCATTTTTTTTTAGTTTTTAATGAGCATTCAACTACCATGCTGTGTAGCACAAGTCCATGGGAAAACTACCCTCTTTTATTTCAGATGTTTTCCTGTATCTTGTTTCCATGTTTATCCTTGATTTGCATGAACAATACTATGGGACCAGTGCCTTTTTGTCTGACTTTCCTTTTATTTGTTACGCGTGGTAACAACACATATTAACAAGGCTGGTTGTATTAAATGAATAAAACACTTCCTCCGTGAAGGACAGGGGCTGGTTCAGGTTTCCTAGGGAAAAATAATCATTTTCAGAAGTTTTGAAATGGAAAAATGTGCTTGATATTGAGGAGTTCTTGGCCAGTGACCCTGGAATAAGCGAGGACACCTAAATTATGGATGTTTTGAAAAGAAGCTAATTGAGTGTTTGTCTTTTGCAGGATGCTGAAGTCCTGAACGGGTGAGAATGCAGAGTATAAAGTGTGTGGTGGTAGGAGATGGTGCTGTGGGAAAGACCTGTCTCCTGATCTCCTACACCACCAATGCCTTTCCCAAAGAATACATCCCCACTGTCTTTGACAACTACAGCTCCCAGGTAACTGTGGATGGCAGGACTATTAGCCTAAATCTGTGGGACACGGCAGGCCAGGAGGAGTACGACCGCCTGCGTACCCTCTCTTATCCGCAGACCAACGTCTTTGTCATCTGCTTCTCCATCGCCAGCCCGCCCTCCTACGAGAATGTCAAGCACAAGTGGCACCCAGAGGTCACCCACCACTGCCCCAATGTGCCTATCCTCCTGGTGGGCACCAAGAAGGACCTGCGTAATGACGCCGAGGTCTTGAAGAAGCTCAAAGAGCAGAACCAAACCACCATCACCCAGCAGCAGGGCTCCGCACTCGCTCGCCAGATCCACGCCATCAAGTACCTCGAGTGCTCAGCCCTCAACCAAGAAGGCATTAAGGAGGTTTTTGCAGAGGCGGTACGGGCCTTCCTCAACCCCCAGCCTGCCTGCACTAAGAAACCCTGTGTGCTCTTGTAGACAGAAGGTGACCCATCATCATAATAATAAAGAAATAGAATAATAATCTAGTAATATGAAAAATACCAACGACTATGAGAAGGTAGCGTTCACAGCTGAGATTATATTTGGGCGAAAATTGAGAACATGAGATTTCTGATATTTTCTCCGAGTGGAAGGCTTTACTTGGAACGAAAGCAACCTACATGGTTTCATCGTGACTTTGTGTTTGGAAGGGCGAAGGAAGTAAGAAGTCTCTGGCTGGAGTCCCAAATGTAATTCCAGCTTTGGATGCTGCCCTACAGAGAAATTAGAAGAGTCAGCAGTCAATCCTTTTTCTTCCTTTATATCTGCATCCCCTATCATCTTTCTATTTTTTTTGCTTTTCTTTTTTTTTTCCAAAACACATTCTTTCCTGTTGAGAATATAAATGCATCATACCATTCACAAACTGTAGTCATTGTGGACAGGCTGTGGTCACTCAGAATGGTATGGATGCTTTTCTTAACCCAAAAGTGCTACGTCCACTATGAAGCTTCACAAATTTAGTAAAACATGCGTCAAAGTTTGATGATTGGATAGTTCGCCCCTCTTCATAGTTATAGATAACATGATCATGTTTAATCTGACAATTTCAAGGAGTGGTAGCAACCACATTAAAGGCTGCTACACATGACCTTGGCATGACTGTCAGCACTGCTGCCTCCCAGCTCCTGTGTCTTGCATTACCGTACTGGGGTGCCTTTCCTCTGGAGTTTGCATGTTCTTCCTGTGTTCACAAGGGTTTTCGCAAGGTGTGCTGGCTTCCTCCCATCTCATGAAGCTTACGAAGACGTGCCAGCCCTTTGTGCTCGTGTGTTTGTGCCCTGCGATGTGGACTAAACATCAACATTGTCTTGCGCCGGACACTGTGCTTCTGGAAACACCTCTGCGTTGGGCAGTCCTGAACAAGAATAAGCAGCTTTTTAACAACTGGTGGGATAGATGGATACATGTGAGCACCCATGTAGAAAAATGTTAAACAAAATATCCCTAACACCTATCTTAAAAATGGGATTTAATACAGGATGAGTTTCTCCTTTTCCTCAGGGGCTTCCTTCCACACCTTCAGGATAACGATGAGTTAGTCTTCTCTCTTAAAGAGATCCTTGTTAATTTTCAACTGATTACACTGACAGTTTCATTCCATAATGAGTTAACACCTTGTCACATGTCTAGGGCAAAATGGGCCATTCTTATCAAGTTACAGTAGTGCATGATGGGGTTTAGAAGTCTTTCTTTCCTTTATTTTACAAAGATTACAGAGATTTTATAGTGCTTACATCCAAATGTAAAAACTCAAGTTCTGCAGTGAGTGACCTGTTACATTTGGGCCTTTTGCATTATTCCTCCTATGGACCTTGAAACATGAATATGAAACACTCTATGAATAGCACAAGCAAGATGGAATGAGGAAAAAAACCTGAGATATAATTAATCATATGCAGGGTTTTGTGATTTGATCAGATGGCATAGACATAGTATAGGCCTCTCCTCAAAGTAAAGAGAAGCTTCCTGGACAGGCGTATATCAGCTTGTTCTCCTTTTTTTATCTTTTTTTTTTAAAAGAGCAATCTAATCGCAAAAAGAAGACTGACCTTGATCCCAGTTTTTCATTAACAATTCAAACCAGGCTTTAGCTGAAACAGAAAGGGATCAATACAACTGCCATCTGCAATGTCCTGCACTACTTAAGCACATACAGTAGACAGAGGTGTGAGGAACACTGCCTTGTAGTGCGAACAAGAGAAAGGTCAGAGTTGATATCTGTAGTTAACAGCAAGCCCTGCAAATGACGAATTTCAGCAGCAGAGATCTTATCTGAATTCTGATTGGTGGGGAACACTGCCGGTGACTGCAACTAGTAACCGCAAGCCCAGTGGACAGAGAAAGCCTATCACACTGGAGATAAACTGGAGATTTGTATCTCCCTCTGCCTTCAAAGTGTTCACTTGTACCACTAGATATTTACTGTCCCTCCAGAGTTCTGGTTCTTTTGGTATATTTTTGACAAGGGTGTTTTCATTTCAAAATCCACCCTTTTTTCTTTTTAAAATAAAGTTTAAAGATACAGTATGAAACTTGGTCATTTTTAGCACTGGCTAAAGAGGTTGAAGCTGAATGGTTTTTTTTTTCAGTCACAAATTCTGTTTTTTCTTTTTTAAACCTGGTGCAGTGTCCCTTCGTGCCCATTTGAAAACTGCCTTGTTTCTGCACTGCAGAAGGAAAGAAGCCTTTTTAATTTTGTGTTACTGTTCTTTTGTACTATGTTTATGTAGTAAAAAGGTACCATATAGTAATCATGAATATCAAAATAATTGTATGAAAGATACAAGATGTTTTATAGAGAATTTTGTTGTGCATTTTTATTTTTGGAAGTCTGTGATAAGTGAAATCATTTTCCTGTTGTGGCATTAGGCTCTCAGCAGTATGCAGTCTCAGATGTCTATCTTCAGCCTCTTGGTACCCTTGTTGTGAATAATTTAAAATTTGCATCTGTTAAAATAGAATCACCTAAAAGAAATGTCCCATTTTCTAGTTATTCGCAGTGAACTGAGAAATTTCATAGAATAGATATTAACATGTTATCATACAGTGGAGGAAAGTTCAGTCGTAACCTGAACCAGGAATATTTTTCTATAGTACTTTGGACTAGAGGATCATTGAATGTGGCTTCAGATGTTTTCACACAGCTGCTACTAATTATGGAAGTTAGTGTGAATCAACAAGGAATCAAGCTTTTTTTCTTTATGAACTGTATCAATATTTATCATGATAAGCAGGCAAACAGATCCCGATAGTATACTATAGGAAACGGGAAAGGTCCCAGTTACTGTTATTGTCATATTTGTAAGTTTCATCAAGTGAAAAACCTGATCTTTTATGAAAACATCCATTTATGGTACTAGAATGAAAAGGAACTAGAAAGATTTTGTTTAAATAGATTTTACCAATCTTTTCTGATGCTTAGTTTCAAGTTCTTAGTTCTGATTTAGGGTAGAGTTCAGCAACCACACATTAAGACAGTTTGCCAAATTACATTATTCTCAAAGACAAGTTTATGCGCTGAAAAATGTTGTTTTTAAAACTTTTGAAAAGCTTGATTCACCAAGAGAAAAGTTAACTGCATCAGCAACAAATTGCAAAATAGTATAATAAAAAAGCTTTCCACATAAGACCTAATATGATCTCACAAAGAAGAAGGGAAATTAATTGTTACACAAGATTATCTGAGTAATGTACAAAATGCTGGAGTTGAGTGTTCCTTAATCACATTTTGCTAAAGCTGCTTGTATCAGTGGTTGAAGATATGTTTGATGTAAAGATGTTGAAGATTCAGCTGACACTTATTCACGTATTTCAACAGAAATGCGCCTTGCTAAAATTTGTCCTTCTTGGTCCAGACATTTGTACAGTATTTTTCTGCAAAGGTTTCTGCAATGAATACCACTAGAATTGTCCTTTGGCATAAAAGTGATCATGGGGAAAAAACAGCCTTTTGATTTAAGGTTTCATCTTAGTCCAATCAATACATTTGTTTATTTTAAATATTGTTTTTATGCTCCTTGCTTGATTGTCCTTTTATAAAAAATGCTTATCTTTAATTTATGGTTTAATGTTGTCTAATTAAATAACACTTTTTTAAAAAAGTCACAAGTTTTACAGAACCTGTCAGGTTGTTCACATAAACATGTTAATTGCTCTATCTCAACTAAAATTAAACCAAAGTATATATCCAGAATCCTGTTCAGTATTTCATTTGTTTTTTGCCAGCTCTCTGTAACTGCGTGGTTCATGTGTGATCGGAAAAGATCTCCCCTTTGAGCTAGCTTGCTACGTTGACCTCAAGTCTGAATTCCAAGTATCCGTGTCTGCAGATACTACATGGAGATACTCTGATAAGGTCAGAGAGCAGATGTTAAAATTAAACACCATTTTATCATTTTCACATCACTTGTCAACAGGAGAAGTATGTTTTTTTTTTCAGTTGCTTTAATAAGGGATAACAGTAAAAAAAAAACGTCTTAATTATGCTACGACTCAGTTGCAGCCTATAAAATGGTAAGGGTTTACCACAGCAATAAAACTGAATTAAATCTTCTTCTAATCCACTGTTTGCGGAAGCAGTCCCACCCTGTCAGTATTCACCACTCTAGAATCTTCTCTGGTGCTCAATGTCACACTTCACTGACCAAGCACTCATGCTATAGGTGAAAGAGGAAACACCATAACTGTTTCAAATAAGATACACATTGGCTTATTTTCATATTGCTGTCATTAGTCAACTTGCCAAATAATAAAAAAAGAGAACTTGTGAACATTAACTTCCTTCTGAAAACACAGAACTTGCTTATATTTTCGGCGAGCTTGGCATTTTTGCTTTTCAAATTTGTTCTAAAAGATCTCTGCAGAAGGATACAAGATAAGGGATTTCACTCTTGGAGCTGCAGAGGACAGGGCTGTTTCTCCACAGCCCGGGCCTAGATTTTGGTCACTTCTCTTCCCTCCCTGCCAGGCACAAGTACTTCTGTTCCAGAGAGGCACACTCCTGAGAGTGATCATATTTTGGCTGGGCACACTATTCTGAAGTGTTTCTGAGATCCTGTGAAATTTTGTAGAGGTTCGTACGGCTCTGGGGTTCTGGGTCCTTGAGGTCTGGTGTTGTAAAATTGTATGTTACCTTGATCATAAAAAAGTGCCATAGTTGTGAAAATCAAATAAAAACTTGTTTACAAAGTGGTGGGGTGTCTATAATAGATTACCCTGGAACTTTTCAAAACCGAACACGCATTCAAAGTCTGCATCATTCAAAAAGTGGCAGAATTGGATTCATTAAGTTTAAACAATCTGTAAACCAGCAATTGATTGAGATGGATCAAATGGCCTCCTCGTTAGATGCTTTCTTATGTTTTTAGATTTTATTGTCTCAGATCTAGCCACTCAATGTCACAGGCTCCCAGTTATAACACTCCTGCCTACTCTGTGACCCAGGACTGAAGACTTTATGGAAGTCCCTTCCTTTACAGAGCCTGAGCTGAGGGCTGATTCACCATAATCTCTCTACAAACTGGCCTGCTGCAAGTCCAGAGGTCAGTAAACTACTTACCAGTCATTGACTTTCTACTAATAACTAGAAAGCCATGAAGGCCTGAATGGTCTGTTCCTGTCTCTTTATGAGACAAAAACAAGGATTAGGTGTATCTATCTGTGTCTTCACATCTTCTGTCCCAATATTTAATCTCAGCTGCAATCTCACAATACTTTTCTGGATGGGCTCTGTCTTTACCCAACAGGATGCATCATTCCTCCTTATTCCAAATAGCACATTTGCTGCCGTAACATAGTCTTTTCCAATTCTGATTGGGAAGAATACAGGTAGCAAAAATTCCCCTCTGTGCTCTACAAGAGATTTTGTATAAGTCCTATTTCTCTGTCTCACTCTGACCGTGACCAGTTTAGTAAAGAAAAAACCCCTGTGCCTGATGTCTCAGTATATCCCAGTCACAGTGCCTGCCTTTTCTCAAAGGAAAATGGAGGAGTTTTTAATGGCTGAAAGAATCTGGATGTTGTGAGATAACATCAGCACAGAACTTCCATTCCTGTCTGGTTTTCTTACATCAATTTAGAAGCTGTGTCCTCAGGGTCCATGGATAAGAGTTCAATTCTGCTGGAGTTCAATTCTTTTCCTAAGATAAAGTACCAACAGAATGCTAGGCCTTGTAGTGCAAAGATTTTAAGAAGTCCTAATCTGTCAGTTGCTTCCGTTTGTTCTAAATGTAGATCCCAGTGTGTTAAGATTATACAATTGGTGTCGGATCAAGATGATGAAGATCACGCAGTCCTGGGACTTGCTTGAAATGAGACTAAGAGAACAAACTGAATCCTGTATTTGAATATAACGGTGTTATTTAATAGAGGCTTTGAATAAGAAGTGCAATTAGACTCCACATGGACCAATCAAAGTCTTAAAATTGATGGAGATGACCAATTATTTGGCAACAAAAAAGTCCAGCTTCCAACAATTCCTCGAGCACCCTGGGCTGATATGACAAAAGTAGCTTGTGATTCAGCTTTCCTTGGAAAACTGCTTTATAGGCAGAATCACTTCAAGGATGGAGGGAAACATGAGCATACGCACACCAGCTTACTTGATAATGCTAGCAAGCAATTTACAGACACCATGTAACAATTTGAACAATGAAAATACATGGTTTTTCCTGCCTCCGTGCAGAACTCAGTGAAGCAATTCCAGCCTATCCAGCACCACACGTACTGTTGTGTTGATGAAAGTATTTCCCATGGCATTTACAAACTATTCTCATTTAACAGATAGTGGACTTTGCATTGAACAAGCTGAAGTAGTGTATATTATACAGCACTGTTTCTGCAGTACTGTACTTTAAGTGTGTTTGTAATGTTTCTGTGTGCTTGTATTTACTCCCTGCTTTAATAACATTTTTATACAGCAAACTCAAAATATATACACAACACCCAATAAACATTTTTATTTAAAATGAGCTACTCTGAGAAACTTTGATGAGACAATCTGGCAGTTTTTGAAAATCTGGCCACTCCTTTACTCCTAGGGTGCTGGATAATTGATGATCTACCACAACAGTTTACCTACCTTATTGCAAATAAGGGAACAAACATCTTCCCTATGGCACGGACTCTGTCAGCTTATTGTACGGTCCTACCTAGGTGTAAGGACACACCAAACATTTCATAATACCAAGCAAGAAATTATAATACCACCCCTCCGTGTTTTCTAAACAAAATTATGGTGATTGGTGTGTGTACTAAGCCAGTTACCCTGGAACAGAAAGCACATTTAAAATGATATGATCTTTCTTAATGTTACCCAGGGCTTGTTTGCAGCATCCCCAAACCAGCTTGCAAACAGTTCCTCAGTTCTTGAACTGAGAATTAGCAAGATCGGCACCGGAATTGACAAGCTGGTTGCACAGAGGTACTTATTCAGTACAGGCTAGAGAGATGGGTTAGAGCTGAGATGTGGAGGAAGTGACAAAGTTCAAGGACAGATGTACAGTGCATGAAACAGAAAGTGGTGTGTACTAACCCACGGGTAGAACTGCAAAGGACAAGCACCTCACACCTCCTACAGTATTCGTCTCCCTTATTTGCCTGAGAATCATTTGACAGTAAAATTAGGGAAGCAAACCTCATGCCGCACAGCAAATCCTGTAAAAGAGATAACGTCCCTTTTACTAATGAGGCAGGCCCCCACCTCTCCACTATAAGAATAATTTGACAGTAAAATAAGTTATTAATACCTCTGTGAGATGGCACAAACTGTGGAAACAACAGAACCCTCTTTGTTTGTCTTCTTGCTTGGCTTCTTACAAAAAGTGAAACTTTGTTTTTCCCCATTTTCATTCACATTGGAAACAAACTGTGAGTTTCTTGTGCTGTAAATTTTTAACCATCCAGTATGCGTTGGGTGAGAGTCCACAAGAGACTACCTTGTTCAAATTCAAATCATACAGTTCTACAAAATGTTAAAATACTGAAATGTGAAAGGTACACCTTGCCGCAGGAAAAAAGGAGGCACAGCAACCAATTTTTTAACCTCTCTGAAAAAACTGTTTTAAAGATCCATTAAATGTAAATGTGATAACCCACAATGCCATTATGTGTTCGCTTTTTAATAAACATGCATGATCACACGAGTCTTTTGGTGTAAGTTACTGCTTTTTTTCTCCTAACCTATTCCTAGTTTGTGGCAACAAACTTGGATGGAAATTCGGCAAACTTTACTGTAATAAAGAACAGTCTGTTTAATCCACAAAGAGGAAGGCATCAGTGCTGTAACTTTGATTCAGGCCAGTATTTCTGGAAAACGCTTCTAGACGGTGAACTCTTAATGGGGCATTTTTTGCACAAGCCGTGAAACATACTTTGCCATAAATATGGAGAGACTAAAGTGTCAAGGCAGAGTGGTACAGCATAGATGGCCGTGTGCAATGGGTCTGGAATTTGTTCTAATGACCCTGTCGAGCTGGAGCAGGATGAGGGGCGAACAAGCTAAAGAGGACAGGAATGCCTGGGATTCCATGGTGGGCTGAGGCGGAATCAGTGGGGGTGGCCATGCCCGAGAAATGAACTCCCTGGTCCTGAATGGTCTGTGTGGGCCCTAGCCAAAAGTGGAGAGCCCCCTAACTCTTCTCCCCCTGCAATCACTCTGCCGTATGAAAACGCCCCCCCTGTCTGGCTGCTCCAATAGACAGCACACTCAAAGAGTACCTGAAAAGCAGTGCCTCCTATGGCTAGTTCAGTGGCTGGCTCTAACAGCTGAACATAATTCATTTTCACAGAAGTGCACAGCCGGGAATAATAAAAAAAAAAACCAAAACAACTCACAAGATGAGTTCCAGGTCTTTCACTCGACCTATATTTAGACTGCTCAAAATAAGAGGTCAAGTGTTTCCCTGCGAAAATATGCTGCAATTGGTGAAGTCCAATTTTTCAGAGATGAACAGCCATCAGAGAAACACGTTTGATCCTTTTTGAATCCAGGCCACATCGGTTTGTCCAAGCAGCCATTGCCAGGGGGGTATTCAATCAAACGGATAACAGTAGTACAACAGAACTGATTAATATCTGTGGAAACAGGGCGATGTACCCCGCAACACAAAGTAAGTGACACTCATGGCAAACAAAATAATTACATCACTCACTTAACATAAAAGTCAGGTGCATTTAATAACAGACAACCCTGTGCTGGTTAACAAATTACATTTGTAGATTACCTTCATTTTGACATAAGATATACTTCGAACGTACAACAGAACAATGAAGATTCATTTACCTTGAAATGATTTTGTATGAAGATATTTATTTAATTGTCCACTATAGCACATTGGCCTTAAAAGCACAATCCTACTGGAGCCACAATCACAAAAACAGCAGCTGACAATTAATCAAGACAGGAAGCGTCATCATCGTCTGAAAAGGCAACAGATTATTTCAAACATTTCTAGCCAAAATCTCCTCCATAATCTGTGTTAATACTGACATTTAGTAATGAACCTATGAATTTACAAGTTAATTGTGTAGTATCCATCCCAAGAGAAATAACTGAAACTAAAAACATTCTGAATTAAGGTTTATGGATACAACTCAGGAATTACAGTACTTACCTACTTCAGGGAATTACTAATCTAGCCTTTGCCTGAACAATTTTCACTACAATCTCACTTATATACATAACATCCAGGCACCAGTAGGTGATGGTATTTAAATTAAAAAAATAAATCTGTAAATAAGCACATACGACAACAGTCAGCCTTACTACTTTCTTTCTTTGGCAGGGGAATCGCCTCACAAAACATGAAAATAATTAATTATTTAACAGGAAATCGAAATATTTTTAAGAAAGAACAACCCAGTAGCATTATTTTTTTAATTTCATATGGTGTTATTTAAAAATAAAAAATCATACAGATTTCAAGTTTGTGTTTCAGGTTATGATGTCAAAGAGCCCTCTTGGGATTTAATGTGCATTTTGACAGGAATGTCCTCACACGAGGAGTCTTTTCTGTTCAGCAATTTTCTCATCTTGTTTGATGAGAAAACTGACACAAAGAGCCTTAATTATCCTTTATAAAGGAGATCCTTGAGGCAATTAAGAGTGAGACAGAAAGTATGATACAGGGAGCTGTTAAAATGGATTTCACAGTATCCACTGCAGTACAACATTTATAACTCGGTGAAATAAAATGTGTATTTCAATAGTTGTGTCCCCAAAAGACATTGGTCTTAAAACCCCTAAACAATTCTAAAACTTTAAAACGTTCACAGTACAGAATTAAAAAACAAACCACCAACAGTAATACAAATAACCAATTTCCTGAGATTTACAAAACTACAGCAGACATCCATGTTATAGCTTAAATATTTGCAAAGAAAAACGGCATTTGTATGTAGACTTGAGGGATGCTGGGATATAGTACCTACTCTATGAGGCAGTAGCAACTTACTAAAACCATTAACGGATTCTAGCAACAGGAGATCAAGAATACAATGCAACAGAATACGGGACTTTCTGACTATCAAATCAAGATCTGAAGTTTTAGACCTTCAATAGAATCAGGTACCTCAAGAGGCCTGTGTTCTACATAATGTAGACAAAGTGGATTGCTCTGGTCTAAGAGAAGTCAGTCATAAGTATTTTGAGAGCAGGTAGACCTGAAAGATGACAAACAGATCGCGCAACTTCACCCCAGTAAGCTCTGTGCCATTCATGAAAGAGAGAGGTTTAAAATGCAAATGAATGAGTCAATGACACATGGGACATGAATTTTTTTACAGTATGTGGTGAAAAGGCAAACACTGAAACACAGGACTGCCATGGAGAAATATGAGCGGATAGAAAAAGAAGGTGCATCAAGTGTAGTTGCATTATGCAAAGGCACGAACACAGAGAGGTTTGTGAGACTGTCATAAAGTGAAAAAGCATTCCTAACATCAATGCAGTTATCAGGCCTGTGGGGACTGAGTGGTCAAGTTAGTCTGCAGAAGAGCTACAAGACATTATGTCTAGTTTTTCCGGAAGTGAAGGAATCCTGGTTTAGTCCTTTTTCAGATTAAAACAAAGAAATTCTTTAAGTGCAGAGTTAGTCTCACTTCACATGTTGTTGCACTGTTGCTTTTCCAGATAGAAGTGACGAATGGGCGCACCATTAAAACTGTACTTTTCTGGTGCCCCATACTTAAAATCGGCCTAGTGGTGTGCAGATCAATCCTGAACTATTCTTATTCGTATTCCAATACTTGCCTAAGCACTGATCTTTCTGGTAGGTCAAAGTGAGCCTGTTTGTGCATTTAACAAGGTTTTCTGTGTTATGTGTCAGCTGAAGTTTGAAATGACCAGTGACTCATTGTGCTTTAAAGGAATATATGAAAAAGCTCTTCCTCTGGTATCTTCCTCATTGTGCCAGTTACTTGGGAAGTGTTCTGAGGATTCTGAAAGGAACAGCTGCCATCCTCCATCCAGCTGTCTCGGCCTCGGAGGTTCTGTCAGAAGCGCTTGCTCTCTGGTGGGGTGACAACCATCACGTCTTTGTTTCCAAAATCCCAGTACGCTGTCAAATGGAACGCCATGTTGGAGAAGACCACGAAGTACTCACAGAAAGCAAAACAGGTGTAAACTAATGAAGAGAGGAGACAAAACAGAAGACATTGTAGCTGAAACAAGTGGGACCTATTTGGCCATAAGTATAAACAATCTTCATTAGATAATTTACAGTCTTTAATTAAATATGCTCCTGTATGTCTTACAACATTGGTCTCTTGGTGTCATAAGTCTGCCACTAATTCTAATCTTTTAACGATTGAAGCCCTTAAAGATTGTTGTGCTGCCACTGAGTTTGAGATACAACTTTTTTAAAACGCAAAGCCTCACATTTTTTAGTATACAGGTTTTGGATATTGAATAAATGTTTTTGGCATAATTTGTGCTTAACTGTCATTCATGACAGACTGATGAACTCAACTGACTTTGTTGTGTAAGATCTAAATCACCTCATTCGAGAGAGAGCTGACTGGGCACTGGTAATGAGGTGATTTAACCTACTGAATGTTAACCCTGTTAGAAAAATACAGAAAGCAACCACTATGCCCTGTTAATCAAGAGAATAATAATAATAATAATAATAATAATAATAATAATAATTGCTTACACTTATATAGCGCTTTTCTGGACACTCCACTCAAAGCGCTTAATGAGTAATGGGGACTCCCCACCACTACCACCAATGTGCAGCATCCACCTGGATGATGCGACGGCAGCCATAGTGCGCCAGAACGCTCACCACACACCAGCTATCAGTGGGGAGGAGAGCAGAGTGATGAAGCCAATTCATAGATGGGGATTATTAGGAGGCCATGATTGGTAAGGGCAAATGGGAAATTTGGCCAGGACGCCGGGGTTACACCCCTACTCTTATCGAGAAACGCCCTGGGGTTTTTAATGACCACAGAGAGTCAGGACCTCAGTTTTACGTCTCATCCGCAGGACAGCGCCTGTTTACAGTACAGTGTCCCTGTCACTATACTGGGGCATTAGGACCCACATGGACCGCAGGGTGAGCACCCCCTGCTGGTCCCACTAACACCTCTTCCAGCAGCAACCTTAGTTTTTCCCAGGAGGTCTCCTATCCAGGTACTGACCAGGCTACCACCTGCTTAGCTTAAGTGGGTTGAACACTGAGCAACACACTCATCTCATCACTATGCTCAAGGCTGCACTAAGTCAGTACACCATCACATGCCTTCTGGGCTGTTCAAGGTCAGCGACTTCTGACATAGCAAGAGTCATTGTCATACTCCATCTTCTTGGTTGTTTTTTATACTGCCAGACCCACTGCATCAGCAACACCAGGTTGCAAAACGCATGCTTCGGCAGCTCAGCTGGGAGGTGCAGGCCAGATGACCATCCTGGGGCCCAGTGTTCACCAATATTCATCAGTACAACAGAATGAGGTGAGCAACCAAATGGTGATGCATCACAAACCTACAGTTTGCACTGCTTCCATTGGTGATCATACAAACCTATGGCTTTCACAGTAGACCCCTGGTCATTCAACTATGTCCATAATATGTATGGACCTATATCGTATCTATTCAGTAAAACACACACCTCTTATGAAAATTATACCAAACTAATTATCGGGAAAATGACAATCTGCTGCCATTCTACATGATGTTTTTTTCCCGCTCCCTATATACAGTGTGTAAACACACATTCCTACAGAGCCCTCCACAGCTGGAAAAAGGAAATTCTTTTTACTCTTTAAGGCTGTTTGATGTCATCAAAGACAACAGCACTTCATTTAAGATGAACTAAGGAAGACACAAGGGGAATTCACTAACAGCATCTTAAAAAGTTACTGTCATCCGAAAATATCCTCAGACACATTTGTAGTCTGTATGCATGAAAAGTATGTCCTCAACAGCAGAGTCACTGACCAAAAGAAACGTTTCTGGGAGAAACCACAGAAACCAAATCTCTGACACACAATTCTAATTATTGCTCTTCAATGCTAAAAAAGCCTACCTGTAAGTAAACTATTATACTTCAATATATATGGTCTTGTTCTGGTTTGACAATGAATACAAAAATCTTACAAGTTATGTTTCTTATCTATCAGATTAAACAAATATTGACATCATACTGTAACTGATATGAGATCTGTACCGACCTGATAACCGCACTACCTCTGACCACAAGTTGAACTAGACAATATTTATTTCCTTATAAAACCCAGGTGAGAAACTAGATGAGGTTATAGAAAAACCATTCAAAGAACATCTTTTAAGCCTTCACATAATTCCCCCTGCAGCATATACGGATATGGGTAAATGAATATGATTGTGATTTGCTAACAATCAATTCAGGAAAGAAGTCACAAGAGGGTTATTGAAAAGGGAAACACATTAAAAGCAGATACAGCAGTTCAAGCCATCTATGGTCAGCTCTGGAATTCTAACCCTAAGGATATTAAAGAGTCACCATCCCTAAACTCTTTCAAATCTAGACTCAAAACCTTCTTCATTAGAAGGGCCTTTACATACAGTAGCTGGTTCTTATTTACCTCTCTATTCAGTACCTCCAACTACTTTCCCCTCATTGTGTATATCTTGTGTATTTGTTTTGTTTGAGAAGTCACCTTTAAATGTGCTATATAAAATAGCAAAATATGTTACACACATAAAATACAATTATAATAACATGCAGGTACACATTTAAGAGTTGACACAAGGAACTGTAGAACAAAAGTCAGAAAACAGGAGGCTAGTACATTCTCCTACACACTCACTGCCTGGTTCGCAGTATCTGTTATGCCGGACATAGAAGTAACAAGCAATGATGCACAGAATCAAGTTGAAGAAGAAAAGGCGAATCTTCCACTTGTAGGACGTCTGCTCCTGTAACAAGAAAACAATGTTGCATCACTGAGTACATACAACCAGATCTGTGATATGAGAAAGAAATATGTACAAGTATATGAACAAGCTGACTTCAGTTAGATTCAGGCAGAAAATAAATTAAGTGTATTTTACTCAGATGTGTTTCAATACAGTTTCATCTGTATTTGTTATAGAACAATTAGAATCTTATGGTTCTAAGCTAAGGAGTTGTTTTCTTTTTTTGTTGTTTGACTGTCTTGAACACAAAAATACCCACTAACAATATTTATAATTCCGAATGTTGTTTCTTCCATAAGACACATGAGTGAGAAGAGAATGTTAATACAACAGAGCAACACTGCAATGTGGCTTTCAGAAGTATTTACTAAAGAAGCCGCAGAATCATAGGCTCTCTTTTAGAAATACAATTTATAAATAGACGCAGCATGTAGAGTGTGAAATATATGTGTAGAAGCAGCCAGTTACAGCCAAACACCTCAAATTGTACTTCAGTCCCACCCACAATCTTAGCCCCTTTTAAATTCAAACGACTTTCTTTCTCTAACAGTACTGCTAGCTCAGCAAGCTAATGTTCACTTTGGAATTCAACTGAACAAGACCTGCTGTTGTAACTTCACAACAACACGGTAACATCTGACAGCAGCTTAAGATGAGATACCTCGAAGGGTACTATATATAAAAAAGAGGCTGTTCAACACAACAAGAGAAAACTAGGGACCCTTCTACATGATGTTTCTTGTTGAGCAGCACCAAAAACATACAAATGTTGATTTTAGTGGCCCATAAGGACCATGTTTATATTTTAGTGTGTTTTCTATAGTTATAGGTCCACAAGTACAGTGTGACTGTTAAATAATCAATAACTGCTACATTAAAAAAGCACATATTATTCTGCCCTATCTGTTATTATAGGGCTACCTTGGGGACTGTTAGCCACACTGATACAAAAGGATCCTGGTTTCTTGGTAATTCTGTGTTTAAAAAAAAACAACAACATTTCTTAAGAAAATAAATAAACCAAATGCATATCTTCAAAGGCAAGGTAATCCAAGCTCAGCACTGACCAAAGAAGCACATTGGACTGTGTAACAGGTCCCAAACGGGTACAGACCTACATTGCAGAGCAACAGCAGTAATAAATGCAATCTCAAAGGATGTTTCGTGCCATACTGAGTCATTCTTGCACACATCAGATGCAGTGAAACCTGACATTTGCACCTTGCAACCTTTATTGAGAAATAGATGTTTACGTTGTGATGCAGTACCGCAGAAATAAGAAATGACATAAAAGAGCCTTGCTTTCCCCTTCAGCCACTTCCCAAAGAGATACAGTAACTCACCTATCACTGGAACCTCTAGAAGTACCAATCATATCTGTACAAATTAAGCTTGTCACAATCTGGTAGGAGTGTTTAATTCTATTCTACTTCAATTTCTGGGGTTTCGTCTGAGATTCGTTCTTGGTGTTTGGCACCAGTATCTCCTGTGGTTTTCATTATAGTTGAGCTCTCAATTAAATACACTGCTCTACTCATTTACTTAAATAGATCATTTAGACTGTTTTCAACTCCAAACAATGCTACAGAGTTCATGTAATTCATGAATTTTTAATCTAATCTTTAACTAATGAATCTAACTTTCTAGGCTAACAACAATACAGCAAATTATATACAGCTTAATTAGGGGTTCAATGTTGCTTTTTGAGTGCTCAGGTGGACCAAAAATTAAAACACAATGGTGTGCATTGTCTTTTCAACAATGCCTGCCCTAGACCATTAGTCATTATGACTTATTGAACTCATCCCAGAGATCCTTTTAAAAAGATTTTATAAAGCAGACTGTGAGGAAGGGAAGTGAGAAACAGAATTAGCATTGCCTAATGAGTTCTATTGGTTAAAACCATGAGCACTTCCTCACTTCCTATCTTCTCACAAGCTTCTCACAATTCTATTCTAGAATTCTTTTTTGCTTGGTCAGTTAGAACAGATAACTGGAGAAGACAATGGAGAACTAACATGAGCACAGAGGGAGGAGACTAAAAAAAGAACATTGAGTGATGGGAAGTTCTCTTTTAATGACAGTTTTCAGGATGTTTCTGGAGTATGAAGTAACAGATCAGATACTAATTTCAACAAAATGGGCTTTTCACAAAAAACCAGGGCACAATCAACTCAAAAAAGCAGTCATCTCAAGACCTTTAAGGGATGCCACAGTAGCTATAGGGTGCTAAGGTTTTCTTAAAATGAAGAGGACTTGTGTTAAATAAGGAGTCAGCTGATCCTTATCTTAGGCTAATCTGTTATTGATGGCCTATCACACATTTCCTGAAATTCAGTGGCAAACCAAATAATTCAGCTCTTCAAATCTGAGAAGTGACATGAGAGAAAATATGTAGTATCATTACAAGATTACAAGAAACATTTGAAAAACAAGCCTTGTGGGACATTTCCTTTCACCCGTTACCCAAACAAGAGACAAAAAATGAAGGGATAAAATAATTATGATGTAGTAATAAAATAGATACAATTTTTAGTGGTATAACATTAACAGGTTTTCAGGGCTTTTTGTTTTACATGTTTTAGCAGCATTCACATGGTAATTTTGCATATACAATATAAGCCATTCTTCCCTTTGAGTGCTTAGCATATATGCAGCAGGTTTTAAAAAGCATTACATAAAAAAATGTTTTATCTTCCATGCTTTTACTCTAAAGTAACAGAGCTATCAAACTGTAACTGTGGTTCAAAGATCATATTTAATATTTAATATTTTTTTCCTGCATGTGTTCACAAGAATAAGCCAGTTGAAAGCCAAAAAGAAGACAAAATTAGGGCAGTAAGAGCAAGCTGGGAGAGGTTGGGTTTCACTTCTGTATGGCAGCCAGACAAGCACAGGAAGTCAGTGTTTCTCAGTGACACAAGTGCTCTGGCTCAGCGAGTATAAATACAGCCTGTGGCTTCCTGACACTCAAAAGTCTCAGCCGTAACTCTGCCCCCACATTAAACTAAACGTGGAGTGTTCAGCATTGAAACTGCTGGCAATGTCTGAAATGTACAACTGACCACAGGCACGGCAAACTTTTTTATGTTTTATTAGTTACACTGCTGCTTCACTCAATTTAGAAATCATTGCACAATTCCAGATTATTCAATCGTTCACATCCTGCTTCTTAATTTGACTTAAGTCAAACAATTTGTGTGGTAGGTCTAATGTCAAATAAAATATTTTCAAATGATGGTGAACCTGGCCTTACTTTCTTTTTGCTTCTTTATACGAATCAACATATAAGATCCACTGTTGAATGTTTGGCTACACGTTAAATGGGTTACTACAGGAAACCTTAGTGCTATGTACCAGAGATGGAAGCAGAAGTGAAAAACATACTATAACAAGTGCCTTGACCATACAGTGTGCAAGCCTGTTAACGTCTAAAGTGTATAGTCATGATAAGAGAGAAGCTGCTCTGTACCAGTTGCTTATCAAAAGGAAGCAACACATTTTTGACCGACTATAATTGTGAACCTGAGAGTGATGAAGCTCCTCCTATGGATCTGTAAAAAGCTGACATCATTAAATGCTGTCATTTCAACAGATGAATTAGCTCTTATTCTGAGGAACTCAGAAGATTTACAAAGAGCCTTAACACAGCAGAAGCAACCCAGAACCTCATAATGCCAACAATAAAAAATGACCTCAGTGAATGTCACAATAACCATTTTTTGGTTTCATTAAATTTAGCTGATTCAAATCAGGGTCAGTCTTTCAATACTATTTGGGAAAAGCCTTTAGCAGATTCTTTTCTCTGCTTTGATGAAACGTTTGATGAAAGCAGATGCACTACACAAAACGTATCAGTGGAGTTTATCAGTGTGGGGGCAAGCTTTCATCACCAAGCCTCTGACCACACTGACTGCTGAGACAGAGCTTTCTGTATGAATGTAGTGGAAAGCTAAAACTCAGCAGAAAAGTAGCACTTCCTCAGAGAGTGTGAAAAGGTGAAAGTACACAGAACTACCTTTGCCTTCTTTACAAGCAGACAGCAGGACCGGTCTGTAATGGGCGGATGTTTTGTGGGTATAGCGGGGACCTCAAGAGACTGTGCGCTCACCCTGGACTCAATCTCAACAAGGTCACTTGACTGAGGCCTACCAAACCCTCGCCAAGCCTCCCTCCCCCACTAAGTAAGTCAAAAACAGATATTCTCACCTGACTAAATTACCTGTCTGCCAAGGCCAGACTGAGATAAAGGGAAATTAGACAATGAAGACTACCAAATTAATTGGTGTACATTCTGTGGTTGAAAAATGTTCAAATAGTTCCTACACAAGGGGTGAACATTCTCATTTCTGTCTTGTTCTAGTTGCAGACTTTGGTGGCAAAACTAAAGGTTGATCGGAAAACAAAAAAGATCATTCATTTAATTTAGTATCAACTCATTTGTATACCCCATTTCACCACAGCTTTTATTCTAAAAATTTTACTTCAATTAACAAAGGCAACTTTGTTTTTGTCTCAAAGTGACTCTGTAAGGTAACAATTCCAGAGGTGTATTTTATTTTCCTAACAAGGCGTTTAGATGAAGTAGTGGTCACGATACTTTATGACACCTTATTCAATGGAGTTCATTTGTTCCACAATGTAAAAACGGTCTGTCAACCCAAACGGAAGCTGATTGCTGAATTAAGCCTTTGATTGAGAAAATTAAGATGGATGTTTCAAACAAAAGCCAACCGCCTCACTCGCTTAAACAGGAAATCTGTTCTACCCCTCCATCAGCACAAATGCACCACTTTTGCAATATGTACTGTTGTTGCTCAAGCTGTTGCAACACCATGCATTTCAGTTTGCAAAGTTGGAGGAACCGCGGGACCAGGCAGACTCTTCTGTTACTTCACTTGTAGGCGAGTTGATCATGAAAAATAACTCTTTTTCTTCTAATTTTCTTCTAGTTTTATATTCCTACCGATGCTATCCTTCCACCCCACAGAATTTCTCACCTAAACAAGACTGAATACGTCTGGATTGTGATATTCTATACTTCTATTCATTGTCAAACAAGTTTTTTTTTTAAATTAGATGGACAAACGCACAGCTAAGGAAACCAGATCTCGGCTTATATCCCTCAGTTCCGCATCCTTTCTCCTTGAGAGTTTCCAGCTTTTCAACATTTCTTTGCTAACCGCTTTAGGACGGTTCGCAAGTAGGCAACAGTGTAATCTTGTTTCTCAACATGTGTATCTGCTTGTAATGTAACTGTGAGTGTATTACAAACAGAAAAAAAACATGCTGTATAAAGCAATACTTTTTCATTAATAGGAAAGCAAATACGTCACCTAGAATTGGTCACATATTTACAGAGGAGCACAAGACAACCTTCTACTGACAACACTTATTAACACAAAGCAGAAATTTTCCTATGTATTTACTGCAGATGACTGAAGGAGGAAAATTCGCTGTTAAAATGTTATGAACATACAATTCATGTAGTAAACACTGAGTAAACATGGAAAATGTTCTTACTGCTAATGCAACAAATGCACCATTCCTTGTGAACGTCATGGCTAATATGACACTGGGCTCGTTTGCAAGCTCATCATTTTGGCATCAGTATATAAAAGACACGCAGATTTTCCTTTTTACAACACACTTCGATTTAATGAGGCTTCATAGGAAAGCCCTGTCTCTAAACTGTGGGTGACACTGATTGGTATCGAATATAACTCATTCGTCACACTATACCAACGTATGAAAATCACCACACTTTACATGTGTATCTGAATGAATTTTCACATAAAGGTGGGTGGAGCTTTTTTCCATCCTAATTGAACTTTAAAGAGTATTTTTTGGAACAATAACCTTCAAAGAAAATTGCAGGAGATAATCATCACAGGAAAACACATTGACAGAGTTTGCTTACCTGCAATTTCAAAGCTTTAAAAGTCATTAGGTTAGAGAAGTCCACAGCTCTGAACTACTACAAAATAATGGAATTAATAAAACTCTCACTCTAATGTTCTCATTCAGACATAAGAGCAACCTAGTTGCTTGAGATAATAAAGCTTCTTTTTTAACATAAGAACATAAGCTTTTTTACGGAAAAAGCACCATAACAGATACATAGAAACAAATAAGCAGCTAGTAAAAGGAAAGCTGTCATAACAACAATGAAATATCCACAGACGTATCTTTAGATACGTTCTCGGAGCATTTCACAGATACCTAAATAAAAAAGGAACTGGATGAAGCACAAACAACAGAGCTGAATATCAGGTAAACCAGATTGTAAAAGAGAGAAAGGAACTAACAGATGAACACTGCCACATAGTGGTCACATTGAGGAAATTAGTTTTTTATGTTTTCTGTTTCGGCTGCACAAATCCGAGAACCCAACAATTCCTTAACAAAATAGATTTGTTTTTGTTTGTGGAAATAAAATGATAGTCAAATGCATTTTCATCACACACAAAAAAAACAACACTTATTTGAATAGCACCTTAGAGTTTTTTTCCCATTTTTAGTCTGTGAAATGGCTATTTCTATTTTTTTCCTGTTGATCGCTGTTACTTTATGTGAATATTGAATAAACAAAACCTTAATTCTAACCACAGGACAGACTCTACTTTGAACAACAAGGAGTTCTTTAAATCTGAAAGATTTGTCATTTTTCTGTGTTTTGCAAGGTCACTGTACCAGCTACAAAAAATATTTTGCCATTTGCCGAATAACTTTGGGATTTTATTGCAGCCCTAAGTGAAATGATCCTTCTGATACTCAGTACAGAATTCATTAAAGTAAATCTGCTTTTTCCTGTTGACACATTAACACATTAAAAACAGCACCCAAGGAAAGTACACCTTCCAGCATACTGAAGAGTATGAAGTGCATTAATTGTTTAAAGGATATTTAAAAGCCAAGGGAAGGATGAAGCAAGGATAAAAAATACACTGGTGGAGAACATTTGATACAAAACTAAATACATACAGAAAATTACTTAATTAGACAAACACAGCCTCTTCAGAATGAACCTGGTAAAATAGGATTATGTTGTTTCCCTTTCTTCAAAATGTAAGAATTTTATGGGCAGTTGGCCAGTTCAGTTTTGTGTGACTTGATTCTAAGGGAACTCATTCCTAATTTGTCTCGATAGTATAATCCAGATTATAGAGTCCACACCAATTGAGCAGACTTATGTTTACCTGACAAGTGGGTTTTAGCTTGCTCTACAACTCTAGACTTTGAATAAGATACTGACTACATCATCGGAGAAAAAAAATTATGCTTGTAATATTAAAACGTGGTCACACAATACTTAGAGAAAAGTGAGAAACACATTTGAAAAGATCTCCTTGCAAAAAGATAAGAGAATTAAATTTTCATGAAGTACACCTCAATTGTTAACCATTAGACCTGGAAATTATTTTTTCAATCAGAAGTTACACTAGCAGGTATCTGCCAAAGAGATTCCAGGGTTATTCTGAAGAGGTCCAGCTTCTACACAGATAATGAATAAGGAGGAAAAAGGGGTGATTACTGTACCTCCGGACTTACTGAATACACTTTAATAATCTTCCACAGAAGGCAGGTTACAAGCATGTGTAGGATCGAACTACCGATGAACGTGATAAAGCCATTTTTATGAAGCCCTGTGAAAAAAACAGAAAGATTATAAATCAAAATAAATCATATCGGACATACTCGTGCTGAAAATGGCTAAACATCAGAAATGTAAATCTTGGCATATTTTCTTTTTCTGACAAACAGAACCTTTCTTATTGTTCTCCATGAAAAAGTGCATCCTGTTGATGTCAACAGAAGCATGGCTTGTAAGACAGCACTCACAGTAATTCTCAGATGAACACACATAGGTGAGCAGCAGCAGTCCCAGGTTTTCTAAGATATTCAGTAGCAGGTTCAAGAAGCTCAGGAACTGGTAGATCCGCTGAGTTTTGAAACAAATGTTGTAGAAATTCCAGTAGCTCACTGCTGCCAGGAACCTGGGGGCGGCGTGCAGACTGATGCAGAAGCGCCAGATGTAACGCTCAGGTATGAGACTTATGGAAGCACTGATAGAGGGCAGGTAGTTGGGAACCTGTCCCATTCAAAGAAGAAAAAAACATAATTCACATTAATCCTAATCATTCTGCCATAGTGCTTATCTTTAGTTTGACCCTCACATAGTGCCCTACCAAGCATTCAAAAGATGTTGCTTTTGACATAGTTCCACACTGACTTTAACACTTTAACCCTTTTTATGTAATTACTGGCTTTGTACCTCCTGACTGTGTGATGTTTGACCAACCCATATACTGTACATGGTGGGCACACTGAAGCACCATATTCTATATATCTGAGGCCCGTTTTGGAAAACTTATTTTCTCAGAGTCTGGCTTTAACATAAAAAGAACCATTATAAAGGGAATAGCTAAGCTTTAAATCATTACTTGGACTTCAGCCTCCTGCAATGCAGGCTTACTGGGTAGGAAGACAACTAAGGTTTTTGTGTACCAGAACTAATTACAGTATATGACAAATGGAAAGTTGACCTAAAGTAAAAGAATAAAATACACAAGTGTCCTAGACTTAGAGAAAAAAAATCTCTTACTGCCCTCAGGAAAGTGAGAATCTGGCTAGAACTGTTATACTACCTATGAATGCTCGAAGCAAAGAAAAAATGCCTGAGTTATGACAATGAAACAAGAAAACTCTAAAATGAGCTTTCAAATTAATTAGGAAAGCAAGCCCAACTGGGGATGTATTCATCCCATACAGAAATAAAAACTTGACAGCATCATCTTGCTACTGTAAAGGTTAATTCAACAAGCTAGAATGCATCAAATACCAGCTTTGTACAACAGCACATCTAATGTCCTAGAAGATTCTTGGATACAATTGAAGACTGTAATGTACAGCACTGCAGACATGATCTGTGAGGTTCAGATACAGTGATCTCACTGCTCGGTTCATACTGCAGATAGCTCTCATGCAGTGGGCCAACAGGAATGGCTCTGTAATGTCCACAAGTTGAGCCAGATAAACATCATTTTCAGATGTACAGAATGCAGCTCAAGGACACCCTAAGGCACACCTCCATGCAATATCTCATTTTCTCATAATGCACTTGTAAACCCTGCAGAGTGCCTTAAAATGTGCTTGTAACATTAAAACTCGATCACACAATACTAGGTTTAATTTATAATGTTGCTTCAGTTTCTAAATTAGTACTCGGAAATAGACTGCTCCTTAAATTTTGGACACTAATGTAACAGGTGAAGATAAACTACAACGTAACAAATGAAAAGAATGAAAAAATATGGGCTCACTTCAAGTGCTCTCAGGATGCCTGGATACTCAAGCAGAGATACTTTCAAGCAATTATGATGATCTTTATTTGTGTCTTTGTGAAACAGATTACTTGATCTCTACAGGCAGCTTTAAAGACCCAGATGAAGAGCAAATGTGCTCACCTTACAGTGCGTAGCGGTGGAGTCATCGAAATGAAAGATCAGTGAAATGAAGATGCAAAACACGAAGCCGATGAGCGGCAGGCAGACGGTGCCCACGATGAAGGTCGTGAAACGCAGCCGGAAGACCGGGCTATCTCGATCTGGACCACCAAGCCCCTGAAGCATCCTGCCACAGAGGTATGGACAGTATGTTAATGTGTAATACTGTGCAGTATTTCATGCATTTATGATGCAATGATAACCAACATGCAGACAACAACTACCTGTAACATTTGTAAGTTGTAAAACATGTAGTACAAAATTGAACACATTAAGTAGCTAGGTGAAATATGTTATCTTAACGAACGTGTAAGTATATATTAAGTAACTGCTCGATCTATTTTTTTTCTCGTACATTTCACATATCGACTGCTGCATAGATTGTAGTCGTTAATGATACTATCATTAAGAAGAATAACGAGGAATACATGTACATGACAAATCGTAGAGTCATTTGGATACTCCAAAACACATTCGTATTAAGCAAAACCGTTATGTTATGGCACTGTTATGGTGTACAATAAATTACATAACAATGTCAAGTACAGTAATTGCTAACTCCATGTTATGGCCTATTCAGACGTTCCAGCCAGGGACTGGAGTTCTGTACCTTATCCGGCAGACAGGCTTGGGAGCCGAAAAAGTCTGGAGCAGAACACGGCCGCCACGGACGCGACAGACTAAGCGATCGCTGAATGAAGCATCATCATGGACACGCACTAGAACAGTGGCAAGTGCAGGTCTGTTTCTATTTGTAATTGCAAAAGAATCATTGAATGAACACTCAGAGAGAGAAAAAAAAACGATTTAGGAAGAAACAATATGTGGGTGAGTACTCTTCTCTAACAGCTGATCTGTTCCTGGCAAAGCTGGTAGATTTATAAAACCCAAGCGTAATAAAATCAATTGAGTTCGTGATGTTGCAGAATGCATGAAACGAAACCTCAGCGTGTCTGTGTGACTGTGACTATGTCCCCGGAAGAAGCAAAGCACTCACACAGGTGTCAGGCTCTTTAAAGAGACAGGCGCCCAAAAGCGGAACGAAATACTCCAACGTTTCTTAACGACGTACAGTACGAGTGCTTGTACTGTACTTCTTTCCCGTCAAAAAGCGAGATGTTGCAAACGTAGAACTAACTTCTACGCATATTGCAATTTATAATCTCCTTTTCCTTGAATTTTCGACCAAGCCATTTTCTGGCCTGCATTCAAAAAGCAAACCTTTTCTTTCGTTTACTGCATTTTGTTACATATTTCATTTAAAACATTAACAACACTTACAATTGGACATATTACTTACATTGCTTGACTCGTTTCTAGAACATGTAACATCCCAGGAGACACGACCTTTTATAAAATTCAGTTTCTAAGAATGTAGTTTTTGATCCACAAAATACAGATCATCTGTGTGCTCAGAAATTCCTATTTATGTTATAGATATATATTGCAAGATTAAAAACTAACTAAAACGGTAAGAGAAGGAAGGTTTATACCCTTTCACATTTTAAAGAAAGAATATAGCATTATTTTATTAAAGAAATTAGAGTTAATATTGATCAAGGTGTTTCATCCAGCCCTCACAGACAAGAGTTTTTTTTTTAATATGAACAGATTATTTTGGCTTTACTGTACTATTGGTTAATACATCTTTAGAAACAGGTGATCTGTAAGACCCAGGATAGAGACATGTTCTACAGAAAGTGGTTCCCATCCTAGGTCCTGAGAGACCAATGTCACTTCTTGGTTTTGCCCAATCCAAGTTCTTAATCACAGGCTAAATTGAGCATATTTTAAAATTTGCTTTCAGCTTTTAAAAGGTCAAATGGGATTTGTAATTGGCATTAACACGGTACCTCTGTGCCAAAGCTGTGTTGTATGAAATGTACTCAATTAATCCTCTGCTGAAGGAAAAATAAAAGCTCAATGTGAGTGTCTGCTACAGTGTCATTTTCATCTGTGTGTTTTATTAAAAATCAATCACATATTAACACATTGTAGAGAGGCTACTCCATGTTCTGTATGCTGGAGCCGTTGGAAACCCTATCCTTCTATATCTCCTGACTGAGTATTGAAATAGCCTGAAAGCCTGTGCTTGCAAGCAGAGCAGTTAAAGTCATCAATTAGTACTGAAGATGTGGAGCTTAGCTGGTAGGGAAGCCAGCAGACACAGTGGTGCCCCAGGGACAAGGTTTGGGAAGTTTGTTCTTCCACATTCCTGGGTCAATACAAAGGGGAAACTCCATTACTTATAGCTGGCAGCTATATCACTCTGCGAATCACAACTGGTAACCCACTAACGCTAAGCAGGTGTGAGCCTGGCCATTACCTGGCTAGAAGAGGTGTTACTGGGAACAGTAGGGAACACTCACCCTGCGGTCAGGGTGGGTCCTAATGCCCCAGTATAGTGACGGGGACACTATACCGTAAAAAGGTTCCATCCTTCAGATGAGATGTAAAACCTTAATCATAATGACACTCCATAGTGCTAAAAAAACCCAGGGCATTTTTCAAAAAGATTAAGGGGTATAACCCCATTGATCTAGTTAAATTTGCCTCTGGCCTTTAACCAGACACAGTCTCATAAGAATCCCCATTTATGAATTGACCTCATTACTCAGTTCTCTTCCCCCCTGATAGCTGATGTGTGGTGAGCATACTGGTGCACTTTGGCTGCTGTTGCATCATCTAGGTGGGGGCTACACATTGGTAGTGGTGGAGGAGGGAGTCCCCATTACCTGTAAAGCACTTTGAGTGAAGTGTCCAGAAAATGAAAGATACTGAAAGTGGAACTATTGTGTAACTAGTGTAAGTGGGGATTATTATAACTTGCGACTCGTAATATACCTCCAGAAAGCCCACATTTATTTAAAGTTGGTGAGAAAATTAAATTTGGGTCTGATTGTCACTCTACTTTTGGAACTTGCTTTACTTTTTGGAATAATTTCCAAACATGGTACATCCAACCACCATAATGCAAGTACACATTAAAAAATACATTTATCATACAGCTGTAGATAAGGGGAGACTGGTGCTGCCAAGACAGACCCGTGATAACTGCAGGACTGTAGCCCTCCAGGACCTCAGCGAGGCACAATAGTGTTAGGACATGGGGAACACATGACCAGGGAGCTACAGTATGTTTTTCATAGGATATGGGATCGAAAAAAACTGAAGACCGTTATATAAATCTGGAACAAAGTTACAACCCCGCAATTGATCCTATAAAACGGTAGCATCGATCGAAGACTGCAATAAGACAACTTGCCTCTACTTTTACCCACCCGAATGAAATACAGCGCATTCATCCACCAAGTGAATCACGACTGCGAATGACTCACTATTCAAAAACGGTCGTGACTAGAGGAAGCGACGAATTCCACTCGAGCCGCACAGCAACACATGATCACGTACGGCCGTCCAGACCCGAACAGATTTAACATAAGCGGCCGGTCGCTGCCAACAGCCAATAAACTGGGACTTCGCTCCTAAGGCCTCCGAATGGAGGCGGGACACCAATTCAAACTCTACCCAGTCGCGAAAGTGCAATAGATTTACAAGCTGATGGGCGACAGTGTTGTCCAATAATATTTCAGATCCATCTGCAGTAGACGTCAGAAAGAGGTCGACATATTACGTACTGACGTAGTTTGCGTACTGCTTGGCCTTGCAAAGGTAAATTACGCAGTTTCTCTCTTCCTTGGGCGATATTGAAAAAAAAATATATCGATATTGGACACTGTGGATAGTGAGCTACCTAAATATCATCTTGTATTCGGACCGCTTTTGCTGGAAGAACACCTGAGGAAGATATTGAGTGGGCTTCTGAATAATACGGTAAGAAATATCGCTACTTTGTAATATTTGGTTAATTTGCACGTTTCTCTGTGGTTGGCCTTTTTAATTTGCATAAACGTGGCAGCTTCAGTTGTTAATCCTGAAGTACAATGAGAAAATATATTCCAGGGGAATATTGTAATTGCCAACGTACTTAAATGCGTGTCTGCGAAGCTTGTCTGCCTGCAAGCATATGCGACCAAGTTTGTGTTGGCTTAGCACTTTTATGTCGCAAGTGTGCATTTTATAATAATTCACATTCTTTGCTTCAGTTTCAGGTAGCAAGTGATCGGGGCACATCTTAATAAATCAAAAGAAACACCAAATCCTGTAACATTGCTTGGTATCTCCTTCCAGCGTTCTCGTTTGTTTAGATAGCGATTTCATTTTTTTTAAAAAAACCGGTTTGTTCTGGTTCCTTCCAGCACGATCGGTCGAAACGCACCTAAAATGTTTGTTTTGGTATGCTTTAAGGAAGTAACCTAGGATCTTCGAAACCCCAATTCGTGCCCTGAATTGAGGCTTGTATGTGGTTGCCGCTGAAACCTTGTGCTTTAGGCCTCGACCATCGGTTCTGGCGCCTCTTCAGCGTCTTCCTGTAAACAAATCCAGCTTTAACGCGCAGAATAACCCACCATAGAAACGACTTCAAACTCCCGGAGTGATTTGTTGACAGTGTTAATTTTGCACGGTGGCTAAGAACGGTTCGCAAAATGTAGTGTTTGCCGATTCAACCGCTGTGTAATGAACTCGAATGCCGCTACATACACTTCAACAGCTCCGATCCAAGTCAACGTTTTTTTTTTTCAATCGTTCTCCTGCAGTGTTTCAGTCTTGGCTCCCGTTTGAACGTGTTTGTGCTTCCTGAAGTCTCAAAAAGGGTGTTTAGCCATTGACGTTTTCACTATTTTACTCTTTGGGGAAAAATACGTTGTGGAAGTTCTGGGTTTTTTTTTTTGCTACCTCGATACATTTTGTTCTGTGCCGGTGCTGACTTCCAAACGAGCACTGGTAAGTTGTACTAAGGGAATGAAACGAAAACGTATTTATTAGCAGTTGCCATTTCGACGCTATAAATGTGAGACTTTGTAGTTGTCTTGACGGGTTCATGAGCGAAATAAGGCTACCTCGGTATGGGTTTATGTAAAGTCGTGGAATATAAACAGTAAGAATGCCTCGACAGTTGAGATGAATATTCCATGCATTTGTCAGTTTTTTTTTATGTGACCCATACGTTAACAAAATGTGCCGAAGGTTTCTAACAGTATTTTGAATTGTTCTTCACAGACGTATGCAGTCCTGATAGGAACCGAATATGTTCAACAAAGCGTTTGGAACTCCTTTTGGAGGAGGAACTGGTGGCTTTGGAACTTCCTCCACGTTTGGACAGAGTAAGTTGCTACTTTTGCGCTGTTATTGCAGTTATAAATTCATTATTGTACTTCCATTTCATACTGGAAACATAGAACAGATTACATACTACTGTTAAGATGCTGCGCATTGACAAGTCATGGAGGGTGGTGGTGCATATAAGAAGCAAGGACAGTGAAAATAAAAGTGCTTAATGTCCATTTTCGCTTAAGGTGGAGCCTGTAAATGGATACAGGTAGGTTTGGTTTGTGGAATGTATCTCTTATCTCCTTGTCAACTTGTGTTGACATTGTTTTCAGAATCACTATTTTACAGCTTGCCTTACCGTGTATTTGTGTCTTTGTAGCTGATATCAGGCATGGAACAATGCTGGTGTTTGTGTACTATACTTTGATTTACACCTATTGGAAAGCAGTCAATCCTCAAAGATAAAGGAAAATGGTCAAACATGTCATGATATGGAGTTTTTGTTAGAAGAATCCTGTCCCGCATGTGATATAAAAACTAGAATTCCACAATAGTTTAATGTTAATGACACCAAATACACATATTCTAAAAGAAGAATGTATCTAATGCAATTAGACAAGGTCAAGCCAGATAGAGGCACCTAGAACACAGTTAAGTACACTTTATTGGAGTATCCCACTACAGTTTGTGCAAAAGACAAATGCAGTGAAAACAAGCTTGCCAGCTCTCTGCCAATGAGGGTGTGACTTTATAATGTTTATTGTATTGCCACTACTCTTTGTAAGTCCTCATCCCAAAGAAGTCTTCATGAAGTCCCAAGGTCCCCAGAATGAGCCCTGGCCACCCTGGCAGATGTAGCTTCTACTGTCGGTCCCCCACTGCTGCCAGGTTGGAGCGAAGGCAGGTGGTGGTTAATCTATGCACTGCTGAAAGACAGCTGTTGTCATTCGAAGTGTCTGAAAAACAAAATGGTCGCAATTTCAACTTCTTTTGCAGATTCTGGGTTTGGATCTACAGGTGGGTTTGGGACTTCAGCTTTTGGGTCCACTAATAACACTGGAGGACTGTTTGGGAACACCCAGAATAAACCAGGTTTGGACCTTAAATTTCCCATTGTCATTTTGTCTTAGGTTTATTTTGCAACCAGTCCTGGTTTTACACGTTGTCCATGGATATGTTTGCTTTGAGATGTGAAAGTTTTACAAGTCAACAAAATTCATTCTTATCAACATCAAATGCAGAATCCTTATTGCTTAAAGTACGTTATAAAAAAAGAGATTTCCAAACTGTGAAAATATGTAACAGGATTTGCAATGATAGTGTTAAAGTGCTATACTTGTTTTGGTAGTTAATATAACTCATTGACCAATATAACTTGCATCAGTTGGCACAGAATACATTTTTTCTACACTCTTATACCATAATATTGGGATACTTATTATTTTCAGTAAGACTATTGGATATAGTGTCACGATCAAGTGATACCTCTTTATGACCTCATACTATATTTTTATAGTTAAACATAATACTACATGAAGATGTGATTGGTTACGTTATTTGGAGGGTTTCATATAATTGCAAAAGAATATGGGAGAAGTTATTTTTTTCAGTTACGCAATTATGTATGGTTAGGTACACTAAAATGGCATCTATCAAATAACCTGAATTTCTGTCTGTAATACTGGAAGGTAAGTAAGGACTTGTAGACCCGACTTTGGTCCTGCTGTCAGTGATGGGAACAACTTGGCAGACATTGCATTCAATGTACCGGTACAGCATGCTGGATGGAGAAAGTGATTTAGTTATGTAAAGCTAAACTTAAAACTGTTTGTAGGGGTTAGCATTCCTAGTAATATACTGGAACTCAAATCTGCATGATCACACTACTTATTTTCAGAAGAAAAGAAGCCTCAATTAAAATAATCACATTCATATCCAAGTTTTAGACAAATAAGACTGAAAGAAAGATTCACAAATCTTGCGGAGATAATACAAGGTGGTCCTTTCCCAAGCTACGTTTTCAATGTGTGGTGTAGATCCCCGTGAATGTTTTTAACTACACTGTACTTTACTTTCTCAAAAGTGGCAACAGCAAATCCCCAACAAATCTACACTGGTGCTGGTAGAGGAGGTAAGCATCGTTTAAAGTTTTGAAAAAATGTACAGATAGGAGAAATCAATTGGATGTATATAGTGCGTTGGGTAGTGTGATCATGTAGCCATGTTATGTGTAAAGGCACTATCAGGGGAGAAGTCCGTTGGCGTTCAGTCTGTCAGCTCAAAACACTATTATATGAGAATTATGTTCTCTTGATGATTTTTTTAAGATACACTCAACACAGTCTTTGACAATTGTTCATGCCTGTTTTTCTTAAATCCACAAGCTCTTTATTTCATGTGTAGTAAATATTCTGTCATTCATTTTCTAGCTGCTTTATCCAAGTGTCGCAGGGGAATCTGAGCCTATTTTAGTAAATATGTTTTAGCGTATTCTGTATACCATATGAAACACAACCAAAAACCTATCACAAGTATATGACCTACACATATAGGGCACCATTGATATTGCCCAATTTTAAAACCTAAGTATTTATTTTGCCTTGTTTTCTTATTTGTGCTTTTCCCCATTATTGTATGGAAAGTTTGGTGGTGTATCCCTTGGAAATCTGTATTCTGCTCTGAAATGCTCATGTGCCATTAAAATCTGTCCCTCTTCCACTCTTGGGGACGCATGCTTTTTCTGATTGTCCACACGTAAAATGATTTATACGTAACCCATAAGGACAAAACATGCACACTGTCCGTGACTTTATCATTAAGTTCCCTGGAAAGGTTTCCAGAGAGTGTGTGCACTTCAAAGGGGGAAGTGGATTACCAGAGGAAAGTGAATGTGAAATGATGCCTGTTGGTATTTCTGATTTTTCAGGCAAAATTCCCCTTCAGTAGATTTTGTCTGTTAAATCTGAGGTCTTGTAAAGCAAAGTTTGTTTAACGTAGGGATTGCTGTAGTGATATTAATGGAGTAAATCCCTGCAATACTAAGTTTTTTTTTCCCGGTAGAAGTCAGCCATTGAGGCTTGGTGTTGGCTTTAACTTTTCTAAACATTTTCTGTATTTCTTTCTCACTTGTTTCCCCTTCATAAAACAAAAATGTAAATTAAAGGTGGACTCTTTGGCTCAAGTACGTTTAGCCAGCCTGTGACGTCCTCCACTAGCACTGGGTTTGGGTTTGGTGCTGCCAGTGGTACCTCCAGCAGTCTATTTGGAAGCACCAACACAGGAGGAGGAGGACTGTTCTCCCAGCAAAACAATGCATTCGGCGCGACCAAGCCAGCTGCTTTTGGCAGTGAGTTTCCATTTTCTTGTGTGAAAGATTTGTCTTGGTTGCCGTCATAAACACTTGGGGATGTGCGCACAACAGAGGGCCTTATTTATCTCGACTTAAGAGATAGTGTGTAGTGCCAGCAGGGTTTCCAGGCAATGTTATGTAAAACAGTTGCTATTGCCTACCTTCTTATTTTGTAACAGTTTCTTGAGATGGTCAGTACATTTCCTGACTCTTTCCCTAGTATCTTATTCAAAATCCTTGCCCTTCAGGGATATTTGGGCATTATGTGCAGTTATTCTTAAAGGATTAAGAAAGTTGATTAGCGTTTTTTTTAATTAATCGATAAATTGTTGTAAAATTGGACAAAATATTATTAAAGAGCTCTTAAAGCTGTCAAAATGCATGCCTTAGTGGTCTGAATCTGTCGCACTGTGGAATAAAATATTTTAAGTACTCATGCTTGCTTCTTATTGGCATTTATTTATTTTTGCTCTCCTAATTTATTTTAAGCATTTGGCACCAGTACCAGCAGCGGTGGACTCTTTGGGACAACAAGCACCAACTCCAACCCTTTTGGTGGAACTTCGGGTTCTCTTTTTGGATCTTCGGGTTTTGGTCCCACACAGACTGGTACACCCCTGAAGTTCAATGTGAGTTTTTGAAGTTTTCATGTGTATATCCTGTGTTGAGATGAACTCTGTTCTTAAGCAACTTCATCTTTTATTCATGTGTGGTAGATCCGGTCTTTCTAAGTGCTCTTAATAATTGTAGACAAGTAATTCTTGTAATGCATGTAGTTACATTTTAATTGGTGGCTGTATTTTATCGTAGAGTGAATTTTAAAAGTATTTCTAATGATGGATTGCAGTCATCAACCATCCTTCCTTTGTTAAAACATTACTGAATTCTTTCTGTGCAGGCCCCTACAGGCAGTGACACAATGGTGAAGGGAGGAGTGACTACCAGCATTAATACTAAACACCAGTGCATCACAGCCATGAAGGAGTATGAGAACAAGTCCTTGGAGGTCTGTCTTTAAAGCCTCTTGTAAACTATTTTTATTTTTTTTTCAGGTGTCTTCACAAAAGTGCTATACTTATTCATTTCTTGAAATTATAAGTGTTGTTTTACTAGTATTATTAATGCCTGTAATTATTTTATGAAGTTCCACCTTTAAAATGCAATTTTTCTAAATACTTGAAGGCCGTGTGGCTACTAAAACTCAGCTAATTATCTGGACGAATGTTTTGGTCTTAAACAATTTTCATGGAAGAAATGTTTAAAACCTGCCGTACATTGCTTTTTGGTGAGGTATTCTTTATACACTCCAGTGCAGTGAGAAAGCAGATCCTACAGGTTGATGAATTGAGGATGGAATAAGCATCAAGGGCTTTTTTATTCAAGGGGGAAATGTTTATTATTCCTATACTTGGTTTAGATGACTCTTCAAATTCTATAAATTTGATTCTTCTGAAAAATTGAATGCTAAATTTCTCATTTTATGGAACCTTCCTGTTGTTTCTTATTTTTCTTTTGTGGATGTATGAATAGCATTTATTTATTTTAAGATGCTAAAAACAAACGTCCGTTTCTGTACAGTGTGCCGCATACATTATGATAGTACGAGCCGTTGCTCCTGTGCTCCTTGTGTAATTTGGAGTGCATTCTTACACAGGAATTGCGGCTGGAGGATTACCAGGCAGGAAGGAAGGGTCCTCAGAACCCCATAGCTGGAGGAACAGGTGCGCTTTTTGGTGCCTCGGCAGCACCAGCTAGCACAGCCACTGGGATTTTTGGGTCTTCTGCACCAAATACTGGCTTCACCTTTGGGCAGACCAAAACAACCTTTGGAACCAGTAAGTAGCTTTAAAAGGTTAATGGCTGTTCTTTCATTGTACTACTGTTGGATGACCAAGGGGTTCAGAACTGATGAAAGGACATAATTAAGCTTAAATGAGTATAAGCTGTATATTTGAAATGACTGCTGACGCTACAGTCTTGCCAGTCTTGCGTTTTGAAAGGAATATATTTAATCCTACAGACATGTTATTTTTTTTCCTCAGTTCTTTCCTTTAATATCTGAATCTTATTTTAATTAGGTGCTGGCGGCTTTGGAACCAGCACTGGTGGTCTGTTTGGCCAGGCTGCACCTGCAGGAAGCAGTTTATTCAGCAAGCCTTTTGGGCAGCCCACGACAACCCAGAACACTGGTTTCACATTTGGAAATACCAACACTATGGGTCAGCCCAACACCAACACCATGGTAGATACTGAACCTAACCCTGTTCTTGTCTTCCACTGACTAAAAAAAACAATTATATTTGGGTTCTGTATATGTGTACATTGTTATAAATAGGGATTAAGAGATAAGGCTTTTCTTAGCTAGTTCCAAAATGTGCAATGTTGTTCCCTGTATTTAAATTGTAAAATGGCACAAGTGTGGAGCAGGTGTTAGGGTTTTGCACTTAAATTCCAAACTTCCAGTTACATGTGCGACACTGCTGTTGTGCCTGTGAGCGAAGTACTGAATCCAAATTGTTCTAGTTAAATACTCAGCTGTGTAGATAGGTGGCTATGGATTAAAACATGAACCAAATTTGTAATAATGACGTAGTAAGAAAATGGGATCTGTGTGACTGTAGTTTTGGTTTTGGTTTCCTAAATTTATTGCGTTTTTCTTTTGAAGGGTTTGTTTGGAAATGCATCAGCATCTCAGCCTGGAGGGTTGTTTGGAAATTCTGCAAATACCAGCACTGCCACTGGATTTGGAACTGGCACAGGGCTCTTTGGACAACCCAATACTGGTTTTGGCACCGTTGGAACAGCGGTATGTTGAATTGACTTTGAAAATTGAAATCTCTTCTTGCCTGTCTCTAGGTTTTTCTTCTGTTATGCTAAACAAACTTTTAATAATAATTTGGTATTATTTTTTTTACAGAACCTATTTGGGAACAAAACAGCAGGATTTGGTACAACCACAACCAGTGCACCATCATTTGGTACTGGCACTAGCTTATTTGGGAACAAACCCACACTCACTCTGGGAACCAACACCAACACCTCTAATTTTGGTAAGTGCAATTTTTAAAGGTTTTGATAAAGTTGACAGTACTCACTTTGGCTTGCCATGAAGAAAATTCATCCTAACCCTTCGTTGTCTGTAGGGTTTGGTACAAATCCGGCTGGTGGAAGCCTTTTTGGTAACAAACCTGCTACAGGTGGATTGGGCACAGGGCTAGGAACTGGTTTTGGAGCAGGTACGTCCAAGATCTTCAGTGGTAAAATTACCTCATCTAAAAAAAAAATGTTTGCAACATTGTACTCTACACGTGTAGACAGACAGTTGTACCACTTTATAGATGTGTATATTAAAACAAACATGTAAACTGACCTTGCTCTGTATGAGATTAATCTTTTTGTGACTTGAGATGCTGATGCTGTAATGACCTGTGGTACTACATATGTTCACATTAAGCGATGAATTGTAGAAACCTGGAGGCTGACTGAAGTCTGTCTCGGATATTTAGATCCTAGATAATCCCTTAGTTTTAATTGACCTTGTTGTAGAGCCACCCAGGCTCAACCCTGAGAAAGTGAACTGAGCTGGGGTTTTGCCTTTTAACTGAAACCACAACTAAACGGGGAGTCCGATCAGTGTACTGTCTTTTTCAAAGTCTTGGGTACTCTGTAAGTGATGGAGTAAAAGTTAAAAATGGCAGTTTTCACTCAAGTTGCTTCAAAGGTTTATATTACAGCATTTTGTTCTGTGTACCTCATTTGTTGGCTTTTTATCTCTTAGCAGTTGGGACAGGGCAGACATCCCTCTTTGGAAATAGTCAGAATAAGCTGGGCTCAACCTTGGGTGCTGTTGGTGCTTTCGGAACTCCCGGATTCAATGCCACAACAAGCAATTTGGGTTTTGGAACACCTCAGCAGCAAGTTAGTAAGTGTCCAGTCTAGTGAGAAAGGAACCAGTAATGTTCCTGGGTGTTTGCGTTTTACCATTGCCACCTTCTCTTTGAATAAATCACAGTTTAATACTTGTAATTTCATGTGAGAGACTTTGAACTTACTGGAAAAAAGAAATACTATTCCTGTATAGCCTTATTTGTTTGCTCAATGGGTAAATAGTTAACAAGATGGCAAAATTATTTACATTTTTAAAAAGTTAATAATTTGTTGTAATGTATGTAACTGTAATCTTTTTGTTTTTGCAGCACTAACAGACCCCAGTGCCACAGCAGCACAGCAGGCTGTGTTACAGCAGCAAATAAATGCACTAGCATATTCTCCTTTTGGAGATTCCCCTCTCTTCAGAAATCCCTTGTCAGATCCAAAGAAGAAAGAGGAGGTAAGAGACAACGGCAACCAGAGTGTTGGCATTATGGTTTATTGCTTACCTTAAGAGAATCATGTGGAATTGTTAGTACATTTTCCACTGTTCAGTCATATTTCTCCTCTTTTGTAATGGGAAATTTAGTTTCCCCTAGAACACTTAGTTGTTAGCTGTACTCTGAGCTTTTCTTTGACTTGTTCTTTTCACAATAGCGTCTCAAGCCAACAAACCCTGCTGCCCAGAAGGCCTTGACCACCCCGACTCATTACAAGCTGACTCCTCGTCCAGCCACTCGAGTTCGACCCAAAGCCTTGACATCCTCTGGTTCCTCCAAATCCCAGCTGTTTGATGGACTGGATGATGATGAGCCTTCTTTTGCCAATGGTTCTTTTATGCCCAGGTATCATGCATATTTGTCTGGTAAAGCCTTTGTTCAGCTCTAAACTGCTACTTTAAGCCTAAATTGATATTTCAGAATAGTTTTTTTTTCTTGAATGCATATTCAAACACTGTTTAAAAGGTGTTCTTTGTTTATTTTAAGGAAAAGCATAAAGAAGTTAGTACTAAAAAATCTGAATGGCAGCAGCCTTTATTCTCCAGTGAGTAGGGAGGCAGATGACCTTGCCTCTCCTTCAGAATATCCAGAGAATGGCCTGAGGTAAGACCTTGATTTACAGAATAACCCAGCTGTGGATAGGACTGTAACCCTCAGGATTATTCTGTAAATTACATAATGTATTATGATTTGTTAAAGCTGTATTCCAAGGAAAATTGCCAGTAACTTGTGCCAAAGAGACATCCAAGTTTTGTGTATTTTGCTTTTTGTTGATGCTACCAGAGCTTTAAAAATTTCAACTCAAATGCATGTTTGCATTTTTTTCTAATTTTACAGGATAAGTTTTGTATGCTATGGAATAAAATTGAGCAGATCGGTCTGCTATTTAAAACATGTCATTTCAAGACACTAGTGAAACAACTCATTAATTCCCTTTTTGCTCTTCCATATTTTTTATTGTCATGCAGATACTGCAAAATGTATTTTCCAGTGGTTAGTGGCATATGCCTAAGCTGTTTCTTTGTTTTAGTCGCGGCATTGATGATGAATCCAGACAGCAGGAGACAGAGAGAGCAGATGACGACCTGGAGGTGACCAAGTTCTATACCAACCCTATTGCTAAGCCCATTCCTCACATTCTGGAGGGCAAGCAGAACATCTCTATGCAGGACACCTTGACGGAGCTGAATATGCGGAATATTGTAAGGAATGGCCTGGAAGCCAGCAGTGAAGATGTATCCCTAGGAGATGACTCTCTGCAGGAGGATAGAGAGGAGGAGCTGGATGGACAGCAGCTTCCGCACCCTGCTGGTGAGTGTGATGGGTTAAGACTGCAGTCCTCTATGAGTAAGCTCAGTGTTTTCCAGGAGAGGAAAGAGTTAATTGTACTGCATAAGTAGAAACTGAGGCTTACTGTGTTGTTTCATCTTTATGCTCCTTATTTCCACAGGTATTACTCTTGGTCGAGTGGGGTATTACACTATTCCATCCATGGATGAGCTTGCCAAGATGGTTAATGAGAATGGAGAGTGTGTGGTGGAGAACTTTACTGTTGGACGGAAAGGTGCGAAACATAAAGCAGACTAAGTTATTGGTTTACATCATTCAGATAAATTTTCCCTGATGCGATAACATTCTTAGCCTCTTTGAAAAATGAAATGCAGAATGTTTGTTTTTTTTAATTTAAATTTACTATAGAAATGCATAAACTTGAAATAGTTATTGCATTTTCACTTATATAATCCACAGGCTATGGGTCAATCTTCTTTCCCGGGGAAGTGAATCTGACTAACCTAAACCTGGATGACATTGTTCATTTTCGGAGGAAAGAGGTCATTGTTTACCCCGATGACAAAGTCAAACCACCCGTGGGAGAAGGGCTCAACAGGTGAATGCCTTATGAGAGCTGTTTAGAATTCATTAACCATACTTTCTTTGTGGACAGTTGCGTTTGAAAGAGTATTAATATTCAGGGGATTAGCATTGTTGAAGATATTCATTACTGGACATGGGATTAGTTTTTATAACTTGCCTGTAGTTTTTTGTGTCCATTCCATGAAAATGTTCTGTTCTACAGGCGAGCTGAGGTGACACTGGATGGCGTTTGGCCAAACGACAAGACAACATGCACCCAGATCAAGAGTCCTGAGCGACTAGTGGAGATGAACTATGAGGGTCGGCTTGAGAATGCTTCCAGAAAACAGGGTGCTCGTTTCCTGGAGTACAGACCTGAAACTGGGTCCTGGGTTTTTGAGGTATAATTGAAACATTTATGACATGATAGTACACGAAACATTTTGTTTTTCCTGTGATTTGTCTGTAGCTGCTTTAATTCTACTTTAACCTTGTAACAGTTTTTAAACTCTCATTCCACAACCCTTTTTATAGTAATTCAGACATTGCTGTTCTCTACAGGTTGTTCACTTCTCCAAGTATGGGCTTCAGGATTCAGATGAAGAGGAGGAAGTTCCCCCTCCCAAAACTGACATTAAGAAGCTTAAGACTGCAACAGTCCTTCCCCCAGGGCAACAGCAGCTACCGCCCTTGCAACAGATGGCCGTAAATGGAAAACCAGACACACAAGCACAGGTAGATGGTGGACCTCATTGAACTGTTCCATTGTCATAAATGTATTGGTGTTCTAACTGGGAGAGACCTTAACCGACATTCCATCTTCCTTACCTGTGGTATTTAGGGTCCTTTGCCATTATGGTGATGGAATGTTTCAGGTAACCTAAATACGAAAACGTAGGAGGGTACAGTTCAAGGGGTTGCACCATAATTTTAAAAGTGCTTTAAGTGGTTAAGTACTTAAAAACCTAATTCTGTGGTAAAGCAGATTCAAAGCAGCCATTGTATGCAGAATGAAGGTGCTAAGGGATTGTATTACTACTCTGGGGAAAAATGTTTTGCATTTATGAAAGAACATAAATATCTGGACTTCTACAGATCTTAACAGGATTATTAAACTTAGGAACTCTGTTCCTAAGTTTGCAAAGTTTTTCCTGTTTTTTTGATGTGATATGCTCATCTGTAATATATTTTTTTAAATCCCAACCTTCTAATTTTAAAAATTTCCCTGGAAATTCTATCAGTATATAATTTCAATTTTACATAGATGAATTAACTTCTATATATGATTGTGTAAATCTCTAAGCAAAAATGAGAACTTTAAAATCAATTTTAAGTTTAGAGTCCACCTCTTTTAGGTGTATATATTCTGGAGTTCAGCTCTTCTGATATATGCTTCTTTGGCGTGCAAAGCAATTTTATCCTTTTGTACCATTTTATTTTGTTTTTCGTTTGAAAAACAGTTTGCACCAGTAAATATTTAGAGAACTTTGTACAGTAATAGGCTGTCTAGCATGCAGGTAGCTGGACTAAGCATAGAATGGAATAACCACACTGATTTCTGTATTTTAAAGTTTGTAATGCCTTTGTCTTAATCTAAAATTTAAAATTTGTGGAAAAGTTTCATTTGATCATCAGTGATGCCTGTCAGGATCACATGACTTGAGGTAGTACTTTGCCACTTACCTGTTTTTGTGTTGTATTCAAAGAGCTTAAGTGAATTCCTAGTAATGAACAGGACCTTGTTCATCTTGAAAAATGCCCGTTCATGTCCCCATCCCAAGATTGTGACCTTTTGAGCCAGTTTCATCACTTAAAATCTTCAAATTCCACTGAAGATAAGTTGTTAAACGTTTGTTTATCCCATTTGAGGGTCTAGAGCTCATCATAGTGGGGGGGAAGCTCAGTGTTGATGTAGAAGACATTTGGAGCTGAGCAGTCAGATGAATTAATGACTTAGTTACTAAGATCTAAGAAGTACCAACCAGTGCCAAACCTGTTAGTGCGTACAGCAAATGAGGGAATTCGACAGCCAATTGTTGAGTTTGCTCCCTATCAACAGAGCCAACAGAAATCCAGAAATCTGCAAATGACTTGTCATAAATAAGGTTTATCACCATCTTTAAAATTACATTTTTAATAAAATCATATGCATGAGATGGTTTTTATACATTTTCAAAAGCCATTTTAAAACTATCAAATGTTTTAATGTTAATTGCAATGTCGTTTGTAAAACTTTGTATTGACTGCAAAATACCAAAAATGTTAAATAAAATCATGTTAAAAGAAACTGCTTGTTTTTGTCTCGGTTTTAATATTTTATTAAATACCTCTAGCATTCAATGCTTCTTCCATGCATGTTTTGGTTGTATTAAAACTGTATATATTGACTATAATGACATGCTATTGTTTTGTAAATCAGGTGATAGTTTTCAGCTGTTTTAATGTGAAGTTTGAAGATGTTTTCTTTAACCTGTAATTTATTTTTTAAGCTTTTTTCTTTACTAGGATCACTACATCCTTTAGCTGTCTTATGCAGTGTTTGGAGGATGTGCATGGTTGACTTCAGTTCTTTTTTCACCTTAAGAAAAAAAACTGGTTGCATTATTTTGAGGATGTGGTTGATCAGAAAGTGCAAGAATTGGATTTTTATTTTTACCTTGGACTAAATGCTGTCAAATTTGCAACTGTTTAAAGTGTTGTGAATTTTGGCAGGGTTGCGTTGTTATTCTGGTTTCTGAGCCAGCTCGAAACCTATGGGGGTTGAAATGTCTCCTTAACAAAGACTTAAGATTGCTCTATGTCTGTGTGCAGAGGCTCGGGGTGCTGGAGCAGCTCAGCAGAGTGACGGAGCTGGACAGTGATATGGCTGATATCACTCAGGAGCCCCCCTCTGATAGCATGCTGGAGGATGTGGACGAGGTGTACCAAGAGGAAGAGAGAGTGAGGGAGGCAGAGGCTGCACCAGAGCAGGAGCCAGTGTCTGCTTCCAGTCACATTGCGTCTTTGCTTGGCATAAACCCACACACATTGCAGGTATTATACCGCCTTCAAAAACAAAAATGTGCAGCTTTTGCAAGTAGGAACTTGTGTCATAATTGCAGCTCATCTCTTGAGATGATCAGTACCCCCGAAAAACAAATATGGGCTTTTGTGCTTTTTCCATGCAGATAATGAAGGCTTCTCTATTTGCTGAGGAGGATGAATGTGATTTATTTCAAGAACAGGGTTTCGGCAAACTCTCTACTAGAGTAGACGATTCCCTAGACGCAGGCTCGCCTCGTATCTTACTCCCTGCATCTCAAGGAAGGCCCTCAGGTAAACCATGTGCCCCCCCAGCCCTGCATGTACTTCTGAACACAGAAGACTGCTAGTGAAACATGATTTCTCTCCATACATTTGAAACAACACATCTGTAAGAATGTGTTTTTGGATTTTGTCTGCATTGCCCCCCACTCATAGGAAAGATGTAACAAACTATTACCATTTTGTTTTTCCACTAGGAGGGCTACTGCAGTCCAGGTTCAGCACTGGCCTTGCACTTTTCCCCCAGCCCCAGGATTCCTCCTCTGGCAGCACACCTCAAAGAATACGCAAGTCCGCAGTGCTTGAGCCCTCGCGCCTCTCCCCCTGGCCTTCGTTGGGTGCTTGTTTCATAATGCCACCACCTGCCCCAGAGACACCTCTCCGCACTGTTGGGACTAGAAGACAGATGGGGCCCGTGCCTGTGCTAAACTCCGTCATGCGCGGCAAAGGCAAGCTACTGATGGACATGGCCTTATTCATGGGGCGATCCTTCCGTGTTGGCTGGGGACCCAACTGGACACTGGCTCACAGCGGCGATCAGCTCAGTGGTTCAACTGGCATGCATCAGGACAAGCAAATGGAGACTGTGGGCTTCGGCTTCCTCCCCCAACCGGCCTCGCACAAACCGTAAGTGACAGAATTGTCAAGAACGTCGGTTTGTCAGTCTTCGTTCTTGCGAGTAGTTGTACGTTAATGATTGGAAGTTAACCACCAAGTAGTGATCATGTGGGAGATTTTTCTTAGCATCTACCCTCACTGTCTCATTGCTTAGAATTTCAGAGTGTCCTTTTAAAGTGCATCTTGAGAAGGTAGTTGGTGTGGAGCCTAGCGAGGACGATGGTACACTGAAACTTTACCAGCATCCCCTGGAAATTGAGCTCAAGCACAGCACTATCATCTCAGAGGAGGACTGCCCCTTAATTAAGCCATCCCCAGGGGTGGAGGCACTTCATGAGTACGCGGTGTGGATTAGTGCAGTGTCCAAGGAGCCAGAGGCAGTTGATGGTAAGCCACCTTTTTATGACTGCTGTACTGAATTG